TGTTGTGGGAAAAGTTGGGTACTAAGTTGTTATTCAGCACAACTAGTCATCCACAAACTGATGGTCAAACTGAAGTGACGAATCATACTTTAGGAACTATCCTAATAGCGATCATCAAGAGTAATTTGAAGAAATGGGAAGAGTGCTTACCTATTGCTGAATTTGCTTATAATAGAACTGTTCACTCTTCTACTCAGTTTTCACCTTTTGAAATTGTCTATGGTTTTAATCCATTAACTCCTTTAGATTTATCACCTTTACCTTTGAAGGATCAAGTTAGTTTGGATGGAATTAAGAAAGCTGAGACAATCAAGAGACTTCATGAGAAAGTTCGCCTCAATATTGAGCGTAGGACTCAACAATATGTAAAGTCGGCGAATCGTGGTCGTAAACAAGTTGTATTTGAACCAGGTGATTGGGTTTGGGTACATATGAGAAAAGAGAGATTTCCAAACTCTAGGAAATCGAAGTTATATCTCACGGAGATGGACCTTTTCAAGTAGTGTCAAGAGTCAACGATAACGCTTATAAACTCGCGCTACCAGGTGAGCATGGTGTTAGTGCTACATTCAATGTTTCTGACCTATCTCCTTTTGATTTTAATGAAGGTTTGAATTCGAGGACGAATTCGCTAAAAGAAAGGGAGTATGATGGAGACCATCTAGCTAACACTAATGGAGAGGGACATGTTGCTGTCAATAATGGAGAGGACGAGCAAGTTGAGGTCGTGAATGCTAATGGAGGATCTAAATATGCTGCTTTAAAGAATAATCCTTACATCCGTGATCCACTCTCAAACATTGTTGGACCAATGACTCGTGCTAGACGCAAGAGGATGAATGAATCACTTAATAGTATAATTACTACTACATGGGCTAAGGAGGAAATTAAGCTTGAAGATTACAAGCCCAAGACTATTAATTTGCTGCAAGTGACACCAAATGGATTTGGCCCATTTGGAGAGAAGATTTCTGGCCCTGAATCCAAGGAAGAGCCGCCGGCCACATCCTCATGTTGGTCGAATTAATCCCTAAGGTTTAGGGATGAGATCATTCAAATTTTATCTCTTTGAAAGATAAGACTTTTATCTCTTTAAAGGATAATATTTGGGATGATTCTCTTTATCTTGTTTTTGAGTATTCCTACAATAACGAGTCAACTTTTGATGTCTACTCAACCGTTGGATGAAGACTACATCAAGATGGATGGCTGAGATCACTCTACAAAGAAGATGATGATAGAGTTTTAACTCAAGGGAGATTCTATCCATTGGAATCTTTCTAGGAGATTATCTCTTTGTATTTTGAGTTTTAATTAATTCCTACAGGTCTTAAATGTTTTAAGACTAGTAAAAGTGTCTAGGTATGTTATCTTATCACTTATGATAACTAGGAGCCTTTAGAGTTTGATTTCATTTCAAATTCTTATAGATAGGAATAGAGGTGAAGAGTTGTATTCTTCCTCTACTTCTTGGGAAGAAATTTCGGCCACCCCCTCTATAAATAAGGACCGAAATGCTCTTGTCCAACACACCTTGTGTCATTGATATTTTCCTTTGTGAAATTGGTTAGGATTTTATTCCTTTCGTGGAGTTCTTGTGAGGACTTCTTTGTTTAGTTGTTGCATATGTGTTGTTACAATTATTAGACTTATCTATCTTGTTTAGTTCACTTGATAGTGGCGTCTTTAGCATTGGATCTTTCAAATCTTGGTATTTGAGCTCATAGATCTCATATCTATTGGGTTTTCCTACACAATTTTCTAAAGGGTCTCCGCTTGGTTAGAAATAGCTCTCTTCATTTTTGATTTGGGTTGTTCTACTATTGAACTCGTGAATTGATCCACATGAGGTCAAATATGTTTTCTTTTCTTTGTTTTTCATGTGTTTAGAGTCTTTAAATCCAAATTCTCCAAATTCCGCTACCTACAAATCTCTGTCTTTCCGAATTAGCAAAGTTGGTCTTTTTTTAAAGATTGGTTTTGTCATGGATTGCTAGCAAAGGACACCATTCAATATACTCTATCAGTCATCATTCTAGAGACTCAAGAAAGGTAGGAGGAAACAATGCTCAACTGTGAAAGAATAATATTGACTAGTAATCTCCATAACCAACAAAGATATGCAACACATACACTATCTCAAAATACTTATGCCAAAGCACAACTCATCCAATAAAAGTAGGACAAACCCCACAAAGAAACTCATGAACACACATCATGAATTTGAAAACCATAGCCAAAACAAAGGCTCCACTGTCGAACTACTAGAAGTAGTATGAAAATAAAAAGTCTAGTTTTAAAACAATCCTATCAAGAAGCATACTTGAAAAAGAATGGTTCCTGCAAGATCAAAAGATCCAAGACAAGATGAAAATCCTCTGGGTTAAATCATACTTGACAAATGAAAAGTGGACACACCATTTAACAAAAATTCCTCATAGGAAAAACTCTCATTAGAGAAGACTCAAAATGACCACACACGGGTGCTTTAACTTTCGGCCATACCCTCCCCCCCCCCCCATTTATAGGCTAGCAACTTTGGCCAAAGCACCAAAAAAGAAGACCAACTAGGACTCTCTAATCTTATCTCACACAGGAGTAGAGTTAGAAGAGTATTTGATCTCTTTGACTCTATCTAAAATCTAGAAAACCTTATCTAAATGACTTATTCTCAAATAGGATAATACTTAGAAGGAATTCTAAGACTCCTAATCAAAACACTCTAGCTTAATTCAGTCCACATGACTTATTTAACTACATAAATTCGAAAATTAACTCCTACACTAGATAATACTCTAATTTTCGAAATTCAGCTCCAAATATTGAAGTAGTCTTGAACGCCCTTCAAAAAGTGGAATATAGCTCTTGCGTCCCTCAAGTTGTAGAAAAGTCCAATTTACTCCAAAACTTGTAGAATTCTCTTTATTGACTCCAAAAGATTGGAAAAACACTTGAAACAATTGAGATGGTTTGCACCCTATCCAATTGTGTAGCAATGGACTCAATCTTGAACATTTTGATCAAATAGGCCGTCCATTCAAGAACCTAAATGAGTCTTCTTACTAGCTTGATCAATGATCTTCATGGAGCACCTAAAGTCAAACTCTCTTGATACTCTTCAGCACTTATTTCCATGAGGTCATCATCTACTTTGGTTAGAACCCCAAAGTTAATGACATTCTCATCATCTTGATGATAACTCTCTTGAACCAACTCCCTATCACAAAGGTAGTCAAGATCCATATTTTCTTCCTTGATTGGCCTGCAAAGTAAACTTGGCATCCCAAAACTAGAATGAAGGACTAGCTCATTCCTCTCACTAGGAGAACCACCATGGAATGCTATATGATTCTCATCATCTCCTCCTTCTTTAAGAGGATTTGATGAGAATCATGTAGCCTTCCATGGTGATTCTCCTAGTGAGGGGAATGAGCTAGTCCTTCATTCTAGTTTTGGAACGCCAAGTTTACTTTGTAGGCCAATAAAGAAAGAAAGGATGGATCTTGACTACCTATGTGATAGGGAGTTGGTTCAAGAGAGCAATGATCAAGATCATGAGAATGTCATTAACTTTAGGGTTCAAACCAAAGGAGATGATGACCTCATGGAAATAAGTGCTGAAGAGTATCAAGAGAGTTTGACTCTGTGTGCTCCATGAAGATCATTGATCAAGTTAGTGAGAAGAGTCATTTAGGTTCTTGAGTGGACGGCCTATTTGATCAAAGTGTTCAAGATTGAGTCCATTGCTACACAATTGGATAGGTTGCAAACTATCTTAATTGTTTTGAGTGTTTTTCCAATCTTTTGGAGTCAATAAAGAGAATTCTACAAGTTTTGGAGTAAATTAGAGTTTTCTACAACTTAAGGGGCGCAAGACCAATATTCCACTTTTGGAAGGGCGTTCAAGACATTTTACTTCAACAATTTGGAGCTGAATTTCGAGATTAGAGTTAGTCTAAGTCTAGGAGTCAATTTTCGAATTTTTATCTAGTTAAATAAGTCATGTGGACTGAATTAAACTAGAGTGTTTTGATTAAGAGTCTTAGATTCCTTCTAGATATTATCCTACTTGAGGATAAGTCATTTAGATAAGGTTTTCTAGATTTTAGATAGAGTCAAAGAGATCAAGTACTCTTCTACTTTTACTCCTTAGGAGATAAGATTAGAGAGTCCTAATTGGTCTTCTTTTTAGTGGTGCTGGCCGAAAATTCTAACCCTATAAATAGGAGGCTTGGCCGAATTTCTTAAGCACCCTTGAGTGGTCATTTTTGTTGTCTCTTTTGAGAGTTTTTCCTGTGAGGAATTTTTTTTAAATGGAGTGTCCATTTTTCGTGTCAAGTATGATTAAACCAAGAGGTTTTCATCTTGTCTTGGATCTTTTTATCTTGCAGAAACCGTTCTTTTTCAAGTATGCTTCTTGATAGAATTGTTTTAAAACAAAACTTCTTATTTTCATAGTACTTCTAGTAGTTCGATTGATGAACCTTTCCTTTGGCTTGGTGTTCGAATTTCATGATGAGTGTGTTCATGAGATCCATTGTGGGGTTTGTCCTACTTTTGTTGGATGAGTTGTGCTTTGGCATAAGCATTTTGAGATTGTGTATGTGTTGCATATCTTTGGTTGGTTATGAAGATTACTAATCAATAGTATTCCTTCATAGTTGGGCATTGTTTGCTCCTGCCTTTCTTGAGTCTCTTGATAGATGAATGATCGAGTATATTGAATGGTGTCATTGCTATTCTTAGCTTGGATTGTTGTTTAATTCGAATCTTTCATGGATAATGTGTTCTTTGCTTGGTTTGAGTTAAGAGATAGAATCACTTAGATAAACGATCGTCTTACTGTGAATTTTACGCACTCTTTTGAGTTTCACGGGATAGACAAAATTATCTTCGTACTTTCTTGTTGATGGTTGCATTAACGAAATTTGCTTCGTCTATGAGATTGCTATCACACATTACCTCTTTTGTTGTTGGTTTTTCAGAGTTGTTGAGCAAAGATGTCATCCGCAGTTGTTGGTTGTACTCAAGTCGCTTCAAAGAGTGTAGAGGGTCGCATGGAGGCTCAAGTACAGCTCATGAAGAGTCAAATTGACTTCCTCCATGATGCTTTGGCCAAGGTTAAGGAAGCAAACCGAGACTTATCTCAATTGCTTTCAAATCAGCAAGATAAAGCTATGGTAAGTTTTGAGAAATTTGCTGAAAATTTAAGAGTCTTATGTGATCGTTTTGAAGTTAAACAATTGCTTTCATATCAGTTTTTGGTATCAAAGTGTTTTAAGGTCTTTGAAGTTGAATTGTGCCAACTTTAAGGATTGAAGTCTTTGACTTGTGTTTTAAAACCTTGATTTTCGAGAGTATGATCGAAAATTGAGTGAAGTTTTACTAAAAAGATTTTCTTAATTTATGACAAGAAATCTTATAGGCTTTGAGATATATTCTTAAAGTTTACATATTTGGTTGTTGGAAAAGTTGATTTTCAATGGTCACTTATGAAGATGGCATTGTTAAGTCATTGAGTTTTCAGAATGATTTGTGTTGAATTTTGTATTATGAAGCAAATGTCATAATTGAATGAGGAACTTTAATTTCCTACTTCATTATAATTATGGTGTTCTTGTTACTTTATTTGCCATGGATTGTTTTGGTAAAAGGTGATTTTTGTTAATTCCAAGTACAATTTGGAAAAGGGTTTTTAGAAAGATTCTAAAAGTTGTTGTCCATTTTTGAAAAGTGGTAATTTTCAAGTTTCCTTTTTTAAGTGAGTCAAAAATAATTTTTCAAATTTTAACTATGTGGTAAAAGGTTAATAGCCGAAATTTTGTTGACTTTTTGCATGTGTGTGCGTGTGATTTATGTGGTATTCTAAGCCTAGTTGGTTTTGAATTTTAGAGTCATAGTATAGCCGAAATTGTGAAGCTAAAAATTAGGGTTTCCTAGTCCTAGTTGAACTTGAATTTTGGTTGTCTATTTGTGTTACACTTGGAGACCTATTTGGTCTTGTATTTGTGTGTTCACATGGCCGAAAATTTTAGCCCTAAAATTAAGGTCATTGAGTCCAAATTGTGTTAAGATTTGAGTCCTATTCGGTTTTGGATTTTTGTGTTCACATTGGCCGAAAATTTGCAGCCATTGTTTCCTAATTGTAATACAATTTTATTGTGTGTTTTATTTAAGTCCTACTTGGATTTAAATACTAATTTTTGCATGTGTTAAATTATAATTTCAGTGAGATTATAATTAGATTTTTAAAGTGAGTCTATTTTCGAAAACTATTAAGATAAGGAAGTATTATCCTAATCTAAAAATTTTTAGTCTTCTAATACAATTGTGCATGTGTGTGGCCGTGTATTTGAGTCCTTTTAGTAGTAGGGGGGTCGAAAATTTTATCTCTAATAAGTAGGGATGAGTTTTCCTAATTTGTGTTCAAAAAGGATTATGTTTACCTAAGTTTTAGGACTCTATCCTTGTCTATATATATGAGGCCGGTTTTTCTTCTTCTTTATTCCACATTATCGAGCAGCCTTCATCATTTAGGGGGGAATATTTTTGAGAAAATTTAGGTCCTATCTTGTAGGAGTTTTCTTGCACAAAAAGACTTGCATTGCCTATAACTAGAAGTGCTGTTTTTCGAAAATTCTCACATCACTCTACTCCAATTTTCTTCTTCTTTCTTGTTGCCGAGATCAAAAGAGAAAAGAACAAGAGAAGCACTCTTCTCTTTAATTCTGAAATTTTGAGAGTTGTGTTCTTAAAAGCACAAGAGAGTTTTTGTTTTTGGGAGAGCTTTATTCGAACCTTCTTTTGGTTCTTGGGGGGGGGGGTTTCAGCCAAACCAAACTTTGGTTCTAGGGTTCAAGGAGTTTTTGTGTAGTAAACAAGGAACATTACTTCTTTTGTTGGTGGTTTCTCAGAATTGTTGAGTAAAGATGTCATCTGGAGTTGCTGGTTGTACTCAAACCGCTTCAAAGAGTGTAGAGGGTTGCATGGAGGCTCAAGTACAGCTCATGAAGAGTCAAATTGACTTCCTACATGATGCTTTGGCCGAGGTTAAGGAGGCAAACTGAGACTTGTCTCAATTGCTTTCAAATCAGCAAGATAAAGCTATGGTAAGTTTTGAGAAAATTGCTGAAAATTTAAGAGTCTTATGTGATCGTTTTGAAGTTAAACAAGTACCCTCGTATGCTGGAATGTTGCAAGTGTCATTGCCTTTGTTTTATGGTTGTCATAGAGAATATGATACTTGGGAAAAGAGCATAGAGAATTTGTTTGTGTTGCTTAACATAGAGAAAGAGAGTGAGAAAATAGCCTTAGCTATAGGTTGTTTTCGTTCTAATGCTTTGAATTGGTGGAAGCTAGTTTCAAATATCTATTCGCATTATTGGTATCGTAATTTGGATGATTGGCATGATTTGAGAAGTGCTTTGCGAGAAAGATATGCTGGTACTAACACCTTTGATGAAGCAAAAGTGAAGTTGCTCAATTATAAGCAGAATGGTAGATCCATTCAATCTTACTTTGAGAATTAGAAGGGTTGTTTCTGAGTTCAGAAGTGGATGAGAATGATTACATGTTGACATACCGTTTCCACTATGGCTTGGACAAGTGGTTCAAACAACATCCAAAGATCAGGAGACAATCAAGGCTCTATGAGGCATACTATGCTGCCTTAGAAGTGAAAAGAGAGCACGATACTTCTTGTGGTTGGAATGGTCCAATTGAGGATCAGGGGTTGGTGTTTGGCGCTGAAGATGGAGATTAACGGACTTGTATCTTCCGTACTAAGTGTTCAGTTGGGTGGTCCAATGAAGTTGATTTGGTAATCGACGGTGGGTCGAGTACTAATTGTGTAAGTGAGGAATTTTGCATAGCAAACGGAATTAAGATGGATCCGCATACTAGACCATACAAGCTTCAATGGTTGAGTGAAGAGATGGTTGTGGATGTCGCTAAAAAGGCCATGGTATCTTTTCAGATTGGTGAGTATAGGGATGAAATTTACTTTGATGTAATTCCTATGTCTCTTTGTGATATTTTGCTAGGTAGGCCTTGGCAGTCAGATGTAGATGCTGTGCACCATTGCTCGAAGAATATCTTTGTCTTTACTAAAGAGGACAGAAAATACATTCTTAAGCCTTTGGCTTATGAAGAATCTGAATCTGTGCGAGAGAAAAGATGTAAGATAACCTATACACAAGGGAGAGAAAAAGTCGAGCGAGTGACGCAAGAAAGTAAAAAGGGTCACGATGAGGTAAGACTTGAGGCGAGAGAAGACCATGAAAATAGCGTGGAAACAGAAAAAAATGCACGCAATGAGAGAAAATCAGAGTGTGGTGAGGGTGAGGATTTTACTAACCCTTATATCTCGTTTGTTCCTTGTGCAGGTATAGAGGTTGATGATTCGAGGACGAATCCTCTTAAACAAGGAGGGGATGATGAGAATCATGTAGCCTTCCATGAAGGTTCTCCTAGTGAGGGGAATGAGCTAGTCCTTCATTCTAGTATTGGAATGCCAAGTTTACTTTGTAGGCCAATCAAGGAAGAAAGGATGGATCTTGACTACCTATGTGATAGGGAGTTGGTTCAAAAGAGCTATGATCAAGGTGATGAGAATGTCATTAACTTTGGGGTTCAAACCAAAGGAGATGAAGACCTCATGGAAATAAGTGCTGAAGAGTATCAAGAGAGTTTGACTCTGTGTGCTCCATGAAGATCATTGATCAAGCTAGTGAGAAGAGTCATTTAGGTTCTTGAGTAGACGACCTATTTGATCAAAGTGTTCAAGATTGAGTCCATTTCTACACAATTGGATAGGTTGCAAACTATCTTAATTGTTTTGAGTGTTTTTCCAATCTTTTGGAGTCATAAAGAGAATTCTACAAGTTTTGGAGTAAATTGGAGTTTTCTACAACTTAAGGGGCGCAAGACCAATATTCCACTTTTGGAAGGGCGTTCAAGACATTTTACTTCAACAATTTGGAGCTGAATTTCGAGATTAGAGTTAGTCTAAGTCTAGGAGTCAATTTTTGAATTTTTATCTAGTTAAATAAGTCATGTGGACTGAATTAAACTAGAGTGTTTTGATTAGGAGCCTTAGATTCCTTCTAGATATTATCCTACTTGAGGATAAGTCATTTAGATAAGGTTTCCTAGATTTTAGATAGAGTCAAAGAGATCAAGTACTCTTCTACTTTTACTCCTTAGGAGATAAGATTAGAGAGTCCTAATTGGTCTTCTTTTTAGTGGTGCTGGCCGAAAATTCTAACCCTATAAATAGGAGGCTTGGCCGAATTTCTTAAGCACCCTTGAGTGGTCATTTTTGTTGTCTCTTTTGAGAGTTTTTCCTGTGAGGAATTTTTTTTAAATGGAGTGTCCATTTTTCGTGTCAAGTATGATTAAACCAAGAGGTTTTCATCTTGTCTTGGATCTTTTTATCTTGCAGAAACCGTTCTTTTTCAAGTATGCTTCTTGATAGAATTGTTTTAAAACAAAACTTCTTATTTTCATACTACTTCTAGTAGTTCGATTGATGAGCCTTTCCTTTGGCTTGGTGTTCGAATTTCATGATGAGTGTGTTCATGAGATCCATTGTGGGGTTTGTCCTACTTTTGTTGGATGAGTTGTGCTTTGGCATAAGCATTTTGAGATAGTGTATGTGTTGCATATCTTTGGTTGGTTATGAAGATTACGAATCAATAGTATTCCTTCATAGTTGGGCATTGTTTGCTCTTACCTTTCTTGAGTCTCTTGATAGATGACTGATCGAGTACATTGAATGGTGTCCTTGCTATTCTTAGCGTGGGTTGTTGTTTAATTCGAATCTTTCATGGATAATGTGTTCTTTGCTTGGTTTGAGTTAAGAGATAGAATCGCTTAGATAAACGATCGTCTTACTGTGAATTTTCCGCACTCTTTTGAGTTTCACGGGATAGACAAAATTATCTTCGTACTTTCTTTTTGATGGTTGCATTAACGAAATTTGCTTCGTCTACGAGATTGCTATCAGTTTCTTGGTATCAGAGCTTGGATTATCTTAGTGATGGTATTAATTGATATTATCATATCAATTCCTATTATCAGTTTGATTTTCGAGAGATTTCTTCTTGGTTGAGGACTTCATAGTTCTTGGTTTTGAAAATATCTTGAATTATCACGGAATCCGTTACTTGGTGTGGTGATCGAGCTTTGTTCTACTCAAAGCACAAGAGAGTTTTGTTTTTGGGGAGAGCTTTATTTGAACCTTCCTTTGGTTCTTGGGGGGGTTTTGGCCGAACCATAAATTGGTTCTAGGGTTCAAGGAGTTTTTGTGTAGTAAACAAGGCACATTACTTCTTTTGTTGGTGGATTCTCAAGATTGTTGAGCAAAGATGTCATCCGAAGTTGCTGGTTGTACTCAAATCGCTTCAAAGAGTGTAGAGGGTCGCATGGAGGCTCAAGTACAGCTCATGAAGAGTCAAATTGACTTCCTACATGAAGCTTTGGCCGAGGTTAAGGAGGCAAACCGAGACTTGTCTCAAATGCTTTCAAATCAGCAAGATAAAGTTATGGTAAGTTTTGAGAAAATTGCTGAAAATTTAAGAGTCTTATGTGATCGTTTTGAAGTTAAACAAGTACCCTCGTATGCTGGAATGTTACAAGTGTCATTGCCTTTGTTTTATGGTTGTCATAGAGAATATGATACTTGGGAAAAGAGCATAGAGAATTTGTTTGTGTTGCTTAACATAGAGAAAGAGAGTGAGAAAATAGCCTTAGCTATAGGTTGTTTTCGTTCTAATGCTTTGAATTGGTGGAAACTAGTTTCAAATATCTATTCGCATTATTGGTTTCGTAACTTGGATGATTGGAATGATTTGAGAAGTGCTTTGCGAGAAAGATATGCTGGTACTAACACCTTTGATGAAGCAAAAGTGAAGTTGCTCAATTGTAAGCGAATGGTAGATCCATTCAATCTTACTTTGAGGAATTAGAGGGGTTGTTTCTGAGTTCAGAAGTGGATGAGAACGACTACATGTTGACAGACCGTTTCCACTATGGCTTGGACAAGTGTTTCAAACAACATCCAAAGATAAGGAGACAATCAAGGCTCTATGAGGCATACTATGCTGCCTTAGAAGTGGAAAGAGAGCATGATACTTCTTGTGGTTGGAATGGTCCAATTGAGGATCAGGGGTTGGTGTTTGGAGCTGAAGATGGAGATCAACGGACTTGTATCTTCCGTACTAAGTGTTCGGTTGGGTGGTCCAATGAAGTTGATTTGGTAATCGACGGTGGGTCGAGAACTGATTGTATAAGTGAGGAATTTTGCATAGCAAACGGAGTTCAGATGGATCTGCATACTAGACCATACAAGCTTCAATGGTTGAGTAAAGAGATGGTTGTGGATGTTACTAAAAAGGCCATGGTTCCTTTTCAGATTGGTGAGTATAGGGATGAAATTTACTTTGATGTAATTCCTATGTCTCTTTGTGATATTTTGCTAGGTAGGCCTTGGCAGTCAGATGTAGATGCTGTGCACCATTGCTCAAAGAATATCTTTGTCTTTACTAAAGAGGACAGAAAATATGTTCTTAAGCCTTTGGCTTGTGAAGATTCTGAATCTGTGCGAGAGAAAAGACGTAAGATAACCTATACACAAGGGAGAGAAAAAGTCGAGCGAGTGACGCAAGAAAGTAAAAAGGGTCACGATGAGGTAAGACTTGAGGCGAGAGAAAACCATGAAAATAGCATGGAAAAAGAAATAAATGCACGCAATGAGAGAAAATAAGAGTGTGGTGAGGGTGAGGATTTTACGAACCCTTATATCTCGTTTGTTCCTTGTGCAGGTATAGAGGTTGATGATTTGAGGACGAATCCTCTTAAAGAAGGAGGGGATGATGAGAATCATGTAGCCTTCCATTGAGGTTCTCCTAGTGAGGGGAATGAGTTAGTCCTTCATTCTAGATTTGGAATGCCAAGTTTACTTTGCAGGCCAATCAAGGAAGAAAGGATGGATCTTGACTACCTATGTGATAGGGAGTTGGTTCAAGAGAGCTATGATCAAGGTGATGAGAATGTCATTAACTTTGGGGTGCAAACCAAAGGAGATGAAGACCTCATGGAAATAAGTGCTGAAGAGTATCAAGAGAGTTTGACTCTGTGTGCTCCATGAAGATCATTGATCAAAGCTAGTGAGAAGAGTCATTTAGGTTCATGAGTGGACGGCCTATTTGATCCAAGTGTTCAAGATTGAGTCCATTGCTACACAATTGGATAGGGTGCAAACTATCTTAATTGTTTCAAGTGTTTTTCCATTCTTTTGGAGTCAATAAGGTGAATTCTACTAGTTTTGGAGTAAATTGGGGTTTCTACAACTTAAGGGCGCAAGACCAATATTCCACTTTTGGAAGGGCGTTCAAGACATTTTACTTCAATAATTTGGAGCTGAATTTCGAGATTAGAGTTAGTCTAAGTCTAGGAGTCAATTTTTCGAATTTTATCTAGTTAAATAAGTCATGTGGACTGAATTAAGCTAGAGTGTTTTGATTAGAGTCTTAGATTCCTTCTAGATATTATCCTACTTGAGGATAAGTGATTTAGATAAGGTTTCCTAGATTTTAGATAGAGTCAAAGAGATCAAGTACTCTTCTACTTTTACTCCTTGTGAGATAAGATTAGAGAGTCCTAATTGGTCTTCTTTTAGAGGTGCTGGCCGAAAAATTCAAGCCTATATATAGGAGGCTTGGCCGAATTTTAGAAGCACCCTTGAGTGGTCATTTTGTTGTCTCTTTTGAGAGTTTTTCCTGTGAGGAATTTTTGTTAAAAGGAGTGTCCATTTTTCGTGTCAAGTATGTTTAAACCAAGAGGGTTTTCATCTTGTCTTGGATCTTGTTGATCTTGCGAAACCATTCTTTTCAAGTATGCTTCTTGATAGAATTGTTTTAAAACTAAACTTCTTATTTTCATACTACTTCTAGTAGTTCGATTGATGAGCCTTTCCTTTGGCTTGGTGTTCGAATTTCATGATGAGTGCGTTCATGAGATCCATTGTGGGGTTTGTCCTACTTTTGTTGGGATGAGTTGTGCTTTGGCATAAGCATTTTGAGATAGTGTATGTGTTGCATATCTTTGGTTGGTTATGAAGATTACTAATCAATAGTATTCCTTCATAGTTGGGCATTGTTTGCTCCTACCTTTCTTGAGTCTCTTGATTAATGACTGATCGAGTATATTGAATGGTATCCTTGCTATTCTTAGCGTGGGTTGTTGTTTAATTCGAATCTTTCATGGATAATGTGTTCTTTGCTTGGTTTGAGTTAAGAGATAGAATCACTTAGATAAACGATCGTCTTACTGTGATTTTTTCGCACTCTTTTGAGTTTCACGGGATAGACAAAATTATCTTCGTACTTTCTTGTTGATGGTTGCATTAACGAAATTTGCTTCGTCTACGAGATTGCTATCAGTTTCTTGGTATCAGAGCTTGGATTATCTTAGTGATGATATTAATTGATATTGTCATATCAATTCCTATTATCAGTTTGATTTTCGAGAGATTTCTTCTTAGTTGGGAACTTCATAGTTCTTGGTTTTGAGAATATCTTGAATTACCACGGAATCCGTTACTTGGTGTGGTGATCGAGCTTTGTGCTACTTAACGAGTAGTACTATCTTTATTTGTTTCAAGGTTCCTTCTTGTTTTGGAATGGGGTGTTGAAAAATAAATCAAATTCTTGTGAAAACTACGTTTTCAAAATTGATCTTGTCTTTTGTGTGGTTGTGCGAGACTTCTTACACATTTGTTTGATCTTGTGGTGTTATTTTAAGGTCTATGCGAGAGCTTGATGATGGTACGTTGGTATCTAATCAAAGTGGGCGCTACATCTTGAAATTTATCCTTGATTTGCAAGTAGAGAACTGTTTCTCCTATGAGCAAGTTAGTGGATCTTATGTGTTGGATCTTTAAGGAGAGAATTGATGCCAAAGAAGAGCTTCTTGCTCGAGATAGCCTTTTCTTTCTAAAGAGATGTCTTTACATAAGGAGGATTTGAGAGTTTATCTTGTGGTAAATATCTTGGATCTACTCTTTGAAAGGTGAAGCTTAAGGATTTTGTACTTTCTACATAAAGTATAAATGAAAAAGCCTTCCTTCTTGTTGGTTTCATTTGAATCTAATGAGTAAAATGGAATTTATGGATTTTCAATTCATGGAAATTTCATAGAGACCGAATTTTGTTTAATCTTAGTGTCAAAAGATTTTTCAAAATTAACAAGTTTTGGTTTTCTTGTTTCTCGAGTTTTACACTTTGAGTTTTAGTCAAAAAATTTCTTTGTCAAGTGATAAGGAATGAATTTTAGTGATATCAGTTTTGGTATCAAGTGTTTTAAGGTCTTTGAAGTTGAATTGTGCCAACTTTAAGGATTGAAGTCTTTGACTTGTGTTCTAAAACCTTGATTTTTCGAGCATAGGGTCGAAAATTAAGTGAAGTTTTTCTAAAAAGATTTTCTTAATGTATGACAAGAAATCTTATAGGTTTTGAGATGTATTCTCAAAGTTTACATATTTGGTTGTTGGAAGATTGATTTTCAATGGTCACTTATGAAGATGGCATTGTTAAGTCATTGAGATTTTCAGAATGATTTGTGTTGAATTTAGTATTATGAAGCAAATGTCATAATTGCATTATAATTATGGTGTTCTTGTTACTTTATTTGCCATGGATTGTTTTGGTAAAAAGGTGATTTTTGTTAATTCCAAGTACAATTTGGAAAAGGGTTTTTAGAAAGATTCTAAAAGTTGTTGTCCATTTTTGGAAAGTGGTAATTTTCAAGTTTCCTTTTTAAGTGAGTCAAAAGTAATTTTTCAAATTTTAACTATGTGGTAAAAGGTTAATGACCGAAATTTTGCTGACTTTTTGCATGTGTGTGCGTGTGATTTATGTGTTATTCTAAGCCTAGTTTGTTTTGAATTTTAGAGTCATAGTATAGCTGAAATTGTGAAGCTAAAAATTAGGTTTTCCTAATTCTAGTTGAACTTGAATTTTGGTTGTCTATTTGTGTTACACTTGGAGACCTATTTGGTCTTGTATTTGTGTGTTCACATGGCCGAAAATTTTAGCTCTAAAATTAAGGTCATTGAGTCCAAATTGTGTTATGATTTGAGTCCTATTCGGTGTTGGATTTTTGTGTTCACATTGGCCAAAATTTGCAGCCATTGTTTCCTAATTGTAATACAATTTTATTGTGTGTTTTATTTAAGTCCTACTTGGATTTAAATACTAATTTTTGCGTGTTAAATTATAATTTCAGTGAGATTATAATTAGAGTTTTAAAGTGAGTCTATTTTCGAAAACTATTAAGATAAGGAAGTCTTATCCTAATCTAAAAATATTTTAGTCTTCTAATACATTTGTGCATGTGTGTGGCCGTGTATTTGAGTCCTTTTAGTAGTAGGGGGGTCGAAAATTTTATCTCTAATAAGTAGGGATGAGTTTTCTTAATTTCTGTCCAAAAAGGATTATGTTTACCTAAGTTTTAGGACTCTATCCTTGTCTATATATATGAGGCCGGTTTTTTCTTCTTCTTTATTCCACATTGTCGAGCAAACCTTCATCAATTAGGGGGGGAATATTTTTGAGAAAATTTAGGTCCTATCTTGTAGGAGTTTTCTTGCACAAAAGACTTGCATTACCTATAACTAGGAGTGCTGTTTTTCGAAAATTCTCACACACTCTACTCCAATTTTTCTTCTTCTTTCTTGCTGCCGAGATCAAAAAGAGAAAAGCAAGAGAAGCACTCTTCTCTTTAATTCTGAAATTTTTGAGAGTTGTGTTCTTAAAAGCACAAGAGAGTTTTGTTTTTGGGGAGAGCTTTATTTGAACCTTCCTTTGGTTCTTGGGGGGGTTTTGGCCAAACCATAAATTGGTTCTAGGGTTCAAGGAGTTTTTGTGTAGTAAACAAGGCACATTACTTCTTTTGTTGGTGGATTCTCAAGATTGTTGAGCAAAGATGTCATCCGGAGTTGCTGGTTGTACTCAAATCGCTTCAAAGAGTGTAGAGGGTCGCATGGAGGCTCAAGTACAGCTCATGAAGAGTCAAATTGACTTCCTACATGAAGCTTTGGCCGAGGTTAAGGAGGCAAACCGAGACTTGTCTCAAATGCTTTCAAATCAGCAAGATAAAGTTATGGTAAGTTTTGAGAAAATTGCTGAAAATTTAAGAGTCTTATGTGATCGTTTTGAAGTTAAACAAGTACCCTCGTATGCTGGAATGTTACAAGTGTCATTGCCTTTGTTTTATGGTTGTCATAGAGAATATGATACTTGGGAAAAGAGCATAGAGAATTTGTTTGTGTTGCTTAACATAGAGAAAGAGAGTGAGAAAATAGCCTTAGCTATAGGTTGTTTTCGTTCTAATGCTTTGAATTGGTGGAAACTAGTTTCAAATATCTATTCGCATTATTGGTTTCGTAACTTGGATGATTGGAATGATTTGAGAAGTGCTTTGCGAGAAAGATATGCTGGTACTAACACCTTTGATGAAGCAAAAGTGAAGTTGCTCAATTGTGCGAATGGTAGATCCATTCAATCTTACTTTGAGGAATTAGAGGGTTGTTTCGAGTTCGAAGTGGATGAGAACGACTACATGTTGACAGACCGTTTCCACTATGGCTTGGACAAGTGTTTCAAACAACATCCAAAGATAAGGAGACAATCAAGGCTCTATGAGGCATACTATGCTGCCTTAGAAGTGGAAAGAGAGCATGATACTTCTTGTGGTTGGAATGGTCCAATTGAGGATCAGGGGTTGGTGTTTGGAGCTGAAGATGGAGATCAACGGACTTGTATCTTCCGTACTAAGTGTTCGGTTGGGTGGTCCAATGAAGTTGATTTGGTAATCGACGGTGGGTCGAGAACTGATTGTATAAGTGAGGAATTTTGCATAGCAAACGGAGTTCAGATGGATCTGCATACTAGACCATACAAGCTTCAATGGTTGAGTAAAGAGATGGTTGTGGATGTTACTAAAAAGGCCATGGTTCCTTTTCAGATTGGTGAGTATAGGGATGAAATTTACTTTGATGTAATTCCTATGTCTCTTTGTGATATTTTGCTAGGTAGGCCTTGGCAGTCAGATGTAGATGCTGTGCACCATTGCTCAAAGAATATCTTT